TACAACATGAGCCATTGGTCATGCTTTCAGTCACTGGTTTGTGTGGTACAGGATGAGTCATTGGTCATGCTTTCAGGCACTGGTTTGTGTGGTACAGCATGAGTCATTGCTCGTGGTTTCAGTCACTGGTATGTCTGGCACAAAATGAGTCATTGCTCATGCTTTCAGTGATTGGTTTGTCTGTTACAATATGAGTCATTGCTCATGCTTTCAGTCAATCGATTGTCTGTTACAATATGAGTCATTGCTCGTGCTTTCAGTCACTGGATTGTCTGTTACAATATGATTCATTGGTCATGCTTTCAGTCACTGGATTGTGTGATAGAAATTAAGATTAGTCATTGTTTGTGCTTTCAGTCACTTTCTTGTCTGGCACAGGACATGGGTCATTCTTACTTCACACAGTCACTGGTTTGTCTTGTACATGATAAGTCATTGCTTGTGCTTTCAGTCACTGGTTTGTCTGGCACAACATGAGTCATTACTAGGGCTTTCAGTCATTGGTTTGTCTGGCACATGAGATGAGTCATTGTTACTTCACACAATCACTGGTTTGTCTGTTACAATATGAGTAATTGCTCATGCATTCAGTCACTGGATTGTCTGTTACAATATGAGTCATTGGTCATGCTTTCAGGCACTGGTTTGTGTGGTACAGCATGAGTCATTGGTCATGCTTTCAGGCACTGGTTTGTGTGGTACAGCATGAGTCATTGGTCATGCTTTGAGGCACTGGTTTGTGTGGTACAGCATGAGTCATTGGTCATGCTTTCAGGCACTGGTTTGTGTGGTACAGCATGAGTCATTGGTCATGCTTTCAGGCACTGGTTTGTGTGGTACAGCATGAGTCATTGGTCATGCTTTCAGGCACTGGTTTGTGTGGTACAACATGAGTCATTGGTCATGCTTTCAGTCACTGGTTTGTGTGGTACAGGATGAGTCATTGGTCATGCTTTCAGGCACTGGTTTGTGTGGTACAGCATGAGTCATTGCTCGTGGTTTCAGTCACTGGTATGTCTGGCACAAAATGAGTCATTGCTCATGCTTTCAGTGATTGGTTTGTCTGTTACAATATGAGTCATTGCTCATGCTTTCAGTCAATCGATTGTCTGTTACAATATGAGTCATTGCTCGTGCTTTCAGTCACTGGATTGTCTGTTACAATATGAGTCATTGGTCATGCTTTCAGGCACTGGTTTGTGTGGTACAACATGAGTCATTGGTCATGCTTTCAGGCACTGGTTTGTGTGGTACAACATGAGTCATTGGTCATGCTTTGAGGCACTGGTTTGTGTGGTACAGCATGAGTCATTGGTCATGCTTTCAGGCACTGGTTTGTGTGGTACAGCATGAGTCATTGGTCATGCTTTCAGGCACTGGTTTGTGTGGTACAGCATGAGTCATTGGTCATGCTTTCAGGCACTGGTTTGTGTTGGACAAAATGAGTCATTGGTCATGCTTTCAGGCACTGGTTTGTGTGGTACAGCATGAGTCATTGGTCATGCTTTCAGGCACTGGTTTGTGTGGTACAACATGAGTCATTGGTCATGCTTTCAGTCACTGGTTTGTGTGGTACAGGATGAGTCATTGGTCATGCTTTCAGGCACTGGTTTGTGTGGTACAGGATGAGTCATTGGTCATGCTTTCAGGCACTGGTTTGTGTGGTACAGCATGAGTCATTGCTCGTGGTTTCAGTCACTGGTATGTCTGGCACAAAATGAGTCATTGCTCATGCTTTCAGTGATTGGTTTGTCTGTTACAATATGAGTCATTGCTCATGCTTTCAGTCAATCGATTGTCTGTTACAATATGAGTCATTGCTCATGCTTTCAGTCACTGGATTGTCTGTTACAATATGAGTCATTGGTCATGCTTTCAGTCACTGGATTGTGTGATAGAAATTAAGATTAGTCATTGTTTGTGCTTTCAGTCACTTTCTTGTCTGGCACAGGACATGGGTCATTCTTACTTCACACAGTTACTGGTTTGTCTGGTACATGATAAGTCATTGCTTGTGCTTTCAGTCACTGGTTTGTCTGGCACAACATGAGTCATTACTAGGGCTTTCGGTCATTGGTTTGTCTGGCACATGAGATGAGTCATTGTTACTTCACACAATCACTGGTTTGTCTGTTACAATATGAGTAATTGCTCATGCATTCAGTCACTGGATTGTCTGTTACAATATGAGTCATTGGTCATGCTTTCAGGCACTGGTTTGTGTGGTACAGCATGAGTCATTGGTCATGCTTTCAGGCACTGGTTTGTGTGGTACAACATGAGTCATTGGTCATGCTTTCAGGCACTGGTTTGTGTGGTACAACATGAGTCATTGGTCATGCTTTGAGGCACTGGTTTGTGTGGTACAGCATGAGTCATTGGTCATGCTTTCAGGCACTGGTTTGTGTGGTACAGCATGAGTCATTGGTCATGCTGTCAGGCACTGGTTTGTGTGGTACAGCATGAGTCATTGGTCATGCTTTCAGGCACTGGTTTGTGTTGGACAAAATGAGTCATTGGTCATGCTTTCAGGCACTGGTTTGTGTGGTACAGCATGAGTCATTGGTCATGCTTTCAGGCACTGGTTTGTGTGGTACAACATGAGTCATTGGTCATGCTTTCAGTCACTGGTTTGTGTGGTACAGGATGAGTCATTGGTCATGCTTTCAGGCACTGGTTTGTGTGGTACAGCATGAGTCATTGCTCGTGGTTTCAGTCACTGGTATGTCTGGCACAAAATGAGTCATTGCTCATGCTTTCAGTCAATCGATTGTCTGTTACAATATGAGTCATTGGTCATGCTTTCAGGCACTGGTTTGTGTGGTACAGCATGAGTCATTGGTCATGCTTTCAGGCACTGGTTTGTGTGGTACAACATGAGTCATTGGTCATGCTTTCAGGCACTGGTTTGTGTGGTACAACATGAGTCATTGGTCATGCTTTCAGGCACTGGTTTGTGTGGTACAGCATGAGTCATTGGTCATGCTTTCAGGCACTGGTTTGTGTGGTACAACATGAGTCATTGGTCATGCTTTCAGTCACTGGTTTGTGTGGTACAGGATGAGTCATTGGTCATGCTTTCAGGCACTGGTTTGTGTGGTACAGCATGAGTCATTGCTCGTGGTTTCAGTCACTGGTATGTCTGGCACAAAATGAGTCATTGCTCATGCTTTCAGTGATTGGTTTGTCTGTTACAATATGAGTCATTGCTCATGCTTTCAGTCAATCGATTGTCTGTTACAATATGAGTCATTGCTCGTGCTTTCAGTCACTGGATTGTCTGTTACAATATGAGTCATTGGTCATGCTTTCAGTCACTGGATTGTGTGATAGAAATTAAGATTAGTCATTGTTTGTGCTTTCAGTCACTTTCTTGTCTGGCACAGGACATGGGTCATTCTTACTTCACACAGTCACTGGTTTGTCTGGTACATGATAAGTCATTGCTTGTGCTTTCAGTCACTGGTTTGTCTGGCACAACATGAGTCATTACTAGGGCTTTCGGTCATTGGTTTGTCTGGCACATGAGATGAGTCATTGTTACTTCACACAATCACTGGTTTGTCTGTTACAATATGAGTAATTGCTCATGCATTCAGTCACTGGATTGTCTGTTACAATATGAGTCATTCCTCATGCTTTCAGTCACTGGATTGTCTGATAGAAGATTTAGATTAGTCATTGTGCTTTCAGTCACTTTCTTGTCTGGCACATGACATGAGTCATTGTTACTTCACACAGTCACTGGTTTGTCTGGCACATGCCATGAGTCATTGCTCAGGCTTTCAGTCACTGGTTTGTCTGGCACAACATAAGTCATTGTTTATGCTTTCTTGTCTGGCACATGAGATGAGTCATTGTTACTTCACACAGTCACTGGTTTGTCTGGCACATGCCATGAGTCATTGCTCATACTTTCAGTCACTGGTTTGTCTGGCACATGACAAGTCATTGCTCATGCTTTCAGTCACTGGTTTGTCAGTTACAATATGAGTCATTGCTCATGCTTTCAGTCACTGGATTGTCTGATAGAAGATTTAGATTAGTCATTGTTTGTGCTTTCAGTCACTTTCTTGTCTGGCACATGACATGAGTCATTGTTACTTCACACAGTCACTGGTATGTCTGGCACAAAATGAGTCATTGCTCATGCTTTCAGTCACTGGTTTGTCTGTTACAATATGAGTCATTGCTCGTGCTTTCAGTCACTGGATTGTCTGTTACAATATGAGTCATTGCTCATGCTTTCAGTCACTGGATTGTGTGATAGTAAATTAAGATTAGTCATTGTTTGTGCTTTCAGTCACTTTCTTGTCTGGCACATGACATGAGTCATTGTTATATGATGGTGTAACATTTATACTAAGTTATCCTATAATAATTAGATCCACATCATGGGCTTTTATGAGTTACCATGGTGTAATATTTATACATCATTTCAATTATAATAGTTTAGCAAGTAATACTTATCATCAGGTAAAATGCATATATAAAATATCAGTAGTTTCAGTTATAGCTTTTTAGACAGATGCTAGCCTAAGGTAATGGGAGCGCATCTCCTAGACATACTATTCAATAAGACAAGAGTTATGTCTACATAGTTTAATAGATTTGAAGCTTTTAGATAAATACTAGCCTAAGGTATCAAGATCCCATCTCCCAGACAAAAGATATGTCTTCATAGTCTTATAGATTTACTTAAATAAAATAGTTCAAGGTAATCTATAAGACTATGTAGACATATCTTTTGTCTGGGAGATGGGATCTTGATACCTTAGGCTAGTATTTATCTAAAAGCTTCAAATCTTCAATCACTGGTATGTCTGGCATAAAATGAGTCATTGCTCAGGCTTTCAGTCACTGGTTTGTCTGGCACAACATGAATCATTGCTGGTGCTTTCAGTCACTGGTTTTACATTCAGCAGTGAAATAGCTGGAATATTGCTGATTGAACGTTCATTCTCTTCACTGTTTCTTCTCCAACAATGACAAACAAAACATAAGATTGACAATTTATTCTGAAATCACTTTGCCATAAGATATATTCAAATATTAGATATCTTCTGTACAAAACGTAATATTTCACACTACTTTCAAAGAACGTGTTTAGTTCTAAATTGAAAAGTTAATTACCAACAAGTTCAATAAGTTTCATTTAAAAACAAAGTGTTGAACTTTTAATACCTTTTAGTATTGTTATTAGAAGAAAAATGTAAAAATATACTCAAATTCTATTCAGAACATTTCCACTGTGACACTTTAAAGCCATCATATAAAGATTAAGTGTGTGTCATATAAAAAAACAGGACGAATCAACTTTCTCACGTGTGTACAGTCTTTTCCTAAATACAATCAACAAAGATGAACACATCACACAACAATCACATATGCAGCATTTTGATTCAGATATGTGCTTGAGCTTCTGTAGAAAGCAAAACATACAGTGTTGATTCCATCACAGACGATACAGCAATTAAATGCTCCATTATGTAAGGAATGTTGAGTATGTTTGCAAATATATTATGTCCTGCAAAATGCCATGACAATTCTTATGTTTATGAATGCTGCATTTCTTAAGTACATGTAAAATATAAGAATTAAGTACATGTTTCAATTTTTACATTTTAAAATAGAGACCTGTAAATGTGTCAGACTTACTTAAATGAACAACATGAACAAAAAATGAAAGTAATCTTGACTAAAATATTGCTATGACTGTAAATATAAATACATATATATACAAATTAGATTTTTGTTTGAAGCCAAATCTGTTCTTTCATTGACAAAATTATCAGTTCTGGACACATGTTTTTTTCAATACATATATAATGAATTAATTGTATCATAATAACGGTCTTGTATCACAAAGGCATTCAGGTTGAATGTGATCATATCAAGGGGGAATGTTACCTTGACCTTCAAAATGGAAGGTCATAACCTTGACCTCTCGAAAAGCAGGCAAGGTGAGGGAAGGCAACTATTAATACCCATACTTAACAAAGATCTGTATCTTCTGCAGTCTTGTCAATGGCTCCCATGATTGCCTCTTGGGGCGTTTGGTGCTCGCAGAGATTGACAAATGTGTACAGATGTCGCAGGGCGTAGTCATTCTGGATAGAATGAAAAGAGAAATAAATGGTACTTTTAAGGTATAGCAGTTATAGCTTGATTGATCAAATAAATCATGTTGTGTATCTGACTGAACTGCCATTCTAGACTGTGGCCAGTGGATCAATATGGCTTCAACAACTGCATCAGCAGTGGGTACTTCCCCAATAATAACATCTCAAGTATACTCTGTTCAAGGAGTCAAATCCCAGGTGTCACTTTGGGCTTTCTTCACACATTAAGCTGTAATGTTGATATAACATGACATACCGTTCAAAACACCTTTCGAACCCATTCACTCACTCACCCAATATCTGTTTCATAGAGGCACAATAGTTTCCTAATCATATATCCCTGTGGGGCTTCTGGTGAAGAACTGATTGCATGATTGCATGTTATTGTACCAACAAAGTACGAAGTTGTTCATAATATCAATAATTGGTTTGTCTGGTCCAGATTAAATCAATTACAATACTAAATACTCTTTTCAATATTCTCTCTAAAGAAAACTGACACATACATTATTAAACTAAATCATTAAAATCACAAGGCTGTGTAATTTTACAAGAAGAAAAAAAGGAGATTTCTTAGCCTAAGGCATTATTTCATAGATGGACCCACCTTAACAAAGTTAAGACCCGGGCAGTTGGTCCTCAGGTACTCTGTCACTGGTTTGTAGCAGTCATGTGCGAGCAGGGGGAGTCGCTCTGTCATCAGGTCATACACCAGGTCCTTGTTGTTGTTCACAGACAGGGCCATGATATGCTTGAATGTCTCCTCTGTCCTCCTGCGGGTCTGGGCACATGAAGGGTATGTACAGTTACCATCTGATACATTCATTGAGAGGATCAGGGATTAACAGAAACCATCTGATACATTCATTGAGAGGATCAGGGATTAACAGTTACCATCTGATACATTCATTGAGAGGATCAGGGATTAACAGTTACCATCTGATACATTCATTGAGAGGATCAGGGATTAACAGTTACCATCTGATACATTCATTGAAAGTAACAGGGATTAACAGTTACCATCTGATACATTCATTGAAAGTAACAGGGATTAACAGTTACCATCTGATACATTCATTGAGAGGAACAGGGATTAACAGTAACCATTTGATACACATTCACTGAGAGAATCAGGGATTACTAGTCACGATTTGATACACATTTATAGAGAGGATCATGGATTAACAGTTAACATCTGATACATTCATTGAGAGGATCATGGATTAACAGTAACCATCTGATACATTCAGTGAGAGAATCAGGGATTAACAGTAACAATTTAATACACATTCATTGAGAGGATCATGGATTAACAGTTACCATTTGATACACATTCAGTGAGAGAATCAGGGATTAACAGTAAAGATTTGATACACATTCATTGAGAGGAACAGGGATTAACAGTAACGATTTGATACACATTCATTGAGAGAAACAGGGATTAACATGTTAGTAAGGATTCTCTAGTTCTGGAGGCCAGAATGTGTATGTTCATTCTTGAGTTAGGGTCTGGCCCGGAGGCTGGGGTCTGTAATACTTTCATGACTTATCTCTACGTACAATTTTGAGATCCTCAAGCTTCTGGCTGACCAGCTCCCGCTCCCAATCAGACTCCGCCAGTTGGACCTTCAGCTGCAGAATGTTCATCTCAACATCCTCTGATGGCACTGCATCCAGCTGCAACACCAAGACACACAGTTATATACTTGGAATGATATACACACGTTAACACCAAGGCACACAGTTATATACTTGGAATGATATACACACGTTAACACCAAGGCACACAGTTATATACTTGGAATGATATACACACGTTAACACCAAGGCACACAGTTATATACTTGGAATGATATACACACGTTAACACCAAGGCACACAGTTATACACTCGGAATGATATACACATGTCAACATCAAGACACACAGTTACACACTTGGAATGATATACACATGTCAACACCAAGACACACAGTTATACACTTGGAATGATATACACATGTCAACACCAAGACACACAGTTATACACTTGGAATGATATACACATGTCAACATCAAGACACACAGTTACACACTTGGAATGATATACACACAGCAACACCAAGACACACAGTCCTAATCAATCCTAATCCATGGAGAAATGACCAATTCATTTTTGGTATTAATTTTGTATGGATGTCAGGCAACGCTCTGTCAGATATTTACGATATTACTACTTTTGCATTACTTTTTTTGCAGGGTATATATCCATTACACATAATATATCTACCAGATGTTACTTGGAACGATGTATTGATGTAACTCAGATTCATTCCCCCCAACCCGCTGGATCAAAACACATTATGCAATCCACCATCCCTGTGTTCTTGACAGACTTTTTTCATACTCACATTGGGATTGGGAATCGGCTGTTTGTCAAAGATATGCATTTCCATGTTCTTCCCTTGGAATTCAGCAACATCAATACTTCCCATTGTCTGCAAAAAAGGATTCATGATTGTTGTACCTGCTAGCTTAACATTCTACTCTCCTTTCTGTAACAATTCAACCTAGCCAGCAGGTATAAAGGGTTAAATCAGGACATGTTAATAATGAAAAACCTTTGGCCATACTGTAAGAATCTCCCAAATTATTTCCATTTTACTCACCTATACTGTTGAAAACATCCATCACATCATTCCTAGTTTGTAAATTTTCAAATAAATTGTATATTTATATACTTATCCTTTCTCACACTATGCATTTATTCTTCGATCCTGGTGTGGAAACGTCCTAGAACAAAGTTTTTCGGCTTCAAAAACACAACTCACCCCAACACATCTAATACATCACCAAGTCACCACTGTGATAATGGGACATGCACCACTGCAATCCCGTGCGACACCTGCGATCTGATCACCTGACATATCCAACACCCTCATTCTCAATCTAGAGCATACAGGCTGTGATGCAGGGATAGTTTGGTGGGCGTTTAGCGTGTGAGATAGGATAAGCATATAAATATACAATTTATTAGAAAATTTACAATTTTTTAAACTTATCCTATCTCACACCATGCATTCATCCCACGGTTGGATGGTGGGGCACAGATACCCTAGCCTGTAAGGACGTCAACCTTGAGGCGTACACGAGGCAGCTGGAACTAAACTACTGTCAACTACTGAGACACCTCATGCACAAGACAGAGGTGAGCAGGTAGAGGATCGGGCCAACATTTAAGCAAATGGAACACGGGATGGTGGCTTCTAAGATGTAGACCGAAGTCCCAAAACACAAGTATATATACCCTCTCTCTGGGAGCTTGTCTGGGAAAACAAGATGAAACATAAGCAACAAAGAGAATAACTTAAAGAATTTATTGCAGTATATGCAGGATACCAGAGGTGGGACTGTGGAATGCTGGGTATCCTCATCAGCGCTGTCTGGCTGCTGTGACCAAAGTGATACGACCCTGGACGTCAGCGACCAAGACATCACGAAGGTAGTAAGAAGCAAAGACCATATCAGATCGCAAGAAACATCCCTCCATAATGGATGAGAGTGTGCAATTTACTGTGCAATGTCAAGGTGGAAGCCACTGGACTTGTCTCATGAGGATTGGAAGCAACTGGGGGCGGTAGTCCCGCACAGGTGTAGGCCACAAAACGAGATGGTAGTTCGAGACACCTTTGAGGTTGCAGCCATCGATAAGGGGATAGTAAGATGCTTGTGAGAGAGACGGTATGCCTGAGATGTTTCCAAGCAGACCTCTTCAAGGCTCGACTGGGCAAAGCAAGAGGTCTTCTACGTCATCAGGTCCCAATAACGATAAGAGCGGTGAAAGGGTAAATTTACGATCCAGGGAGCTGGTTCTTAGCAATAAAGTCCCAGCGCAAGCCCAGGAAGACTTAACCAGATTGATGACCGACATCTATAGCATGATTCACACTAATACGTGCTGTAGTAGCCAGAGCAAGGAGGAAGACTGTCTTGAACGTAATGAGTTCAAAGGTCCTACCCGCATGTGGTTCATACTCGGCGGAAGATAAGTGACGGATGATGTTGAGATCCCATGCTGGAGGTCTAAATCGGGATGATTGGTCTATAAGGTGGTTTGAGTGAATCAACGCCAAAAGCAGTAAAATAGGAAGATAAAGTTGATCCCTTCAACTTCCTAGTAGAGCGGAGATGTTGGAGATATTCAGCTATTATTTGAGGAGACGCAGTAATGGGAGATGAAATATCCCTAGCTGAGCAATAACTTTCAAACACCTTCCATTTTTGGTTGTACAAAGCTTTTGTAGAGGTGCAATGTGCCGACGTAATAGTCCTCGCCACCCTTTGAGAATAACCCTTGGCTACAAGAGACCTCTGGAGATGTGCCAAACGCTAAGATTGTAAGTGTCCGGAGACAAGTGAAGAACTGAGGGACACAGACTTGGTCGACCTTATCTTGTTGATCATGACGGGAGATGATTGAAGAAGATCTGCTCATCCGATTGATGAGTGATGGCAAGAATGACTGCTTTGAACACTAGATTGTTGATGTGTAATCTCCTGTCCGCACTTGACCAACAGCCTGCAGCTTGTTGATTGTGAAGGTGAGCGCTCCTGACCGACTGTGGAGGCGTCGACAAAGAGGGGGTGCTCCGGTGCAAACAACGGCAAGGTGACTCTGGTGTGAACATTCAACTCTAGGTGCCACCACCGAAGGTTATCGTAGAGGAGCAACAGGAGTCGAATCTGGATCTTGCAATCGTCCTTCTGGAGAAAAGGCCAGAGGAAGCACTGTAGTGGGCGTAGGTATAATTGACCACGTAGAGGGAGGGCTTATGTCAACATCAGAAGTCCAAGGAGTTGCCACTGCCGGAGAAGTAATGGCTGTCAGAGAGCCAGTGGTACATGGCTCTGTATCTTTGCCCACCTGTCTGAGAGAACAAACATCTTCCCCACCTGAGTGTCGAAAAGGGCACCGATAAACTGGAGACACTGAGTCAGGACCGTCCCCTACATTGCTGAGAGTCGCCTATGTAGGCCTCGAAAACAATGCCTCGGTGATAAAGGAACTGAGTCACTGGTTTCGTAAGGCGGGTGAATAACCACGGGGCCATAGAAATTCCAAATGGGAGCACCATCTACTGATAGTGCATCCCCTGGAAGACGAAGCGGAGGTATTGATGATGATCGCGGTGAATAGGGATGTGGCGATAAGTGTTCTGAAGGTCGAGGCTGACCATGTTTTTTAGGAGTTGAAGTCCTTCATGTTGGAGATCAACCGCATCTTGTCGCTGTCTTTCTTTAGAATGATGAAGATCAGTGAGCAGAAACCTGGAACGGAAGAGGCGTGACCAAGACATTCTATTGTTTCACAACCAACATACCTATGACCTCCCTGATAGCCGATGGGACAAGAGGTCCATTACAGTCTGAAATTTGTCGTTGGTCAAGGCCATGGCCCCACGAATATGGGCCTTATCCAACGATAGGGCACGAGCAACGGACATGGCGACAGCTTCTGTGGAGAGGTAAGTTGAGAGGAGGGGAAGTGTGCGACGGATGGTCTGGTCAATATGCTTCAATTCCTTATCCTCCACAATAGCAGAATGTGTAGAATGCTTGGGATTGACAACGTGGATGTCACTATCCAAATATGGGGCCGACGAGATGGAGAACACACCATGGGTCCCAGTCTCCGAGTAGCTGAAACAAGGAGTTTGCAACTTGTCCCTATGGCGGTGGAATGAAGCAAAAGCCAGATCCAGATTCCTTCCCATATCCGCAAAGACATGCTTAGGCAGCAGGGTGAGAGAGTTCGAGCTTGGACAGGAAACCACAAATCAAGAGAGCCTGTCCTCAGGAGCTACGTGAGAAGCCCAGTTGATCCGCAGTCCAGAAAAACATGTCTGCCAGATCCCCTATATCATCATCACCGTAAGAGGAGAGTGGTGACGGTGGATCCCCGAGTGCAGTGAAAAACGGTCTGAGATGGTATCCAGGTCGAAAGGAGTCCTAGTAATAGATGAAGTAGGTAGAGTAGGAGTCCTGGCCGATGAGAAGCCATGTTGATCTAGCCCCACAGACACTGCGTGTACCAGTGTCTGAAAGTTTGAGTAGGGTAAAGAGGAAGAATCTGTGCAATGATCACATGATGTAGAGAGAATAAGACGATCCTGCAAGTCCATTTGATTGAAAGTAGGGGAGCGCTGAGGTCATTGAGGTGGAATGGGTGAATGGTCAGTCCTTGAAGTAGAACGGATTCTAGATCCTTGACGAAGGTGATCCCCTGGAGACAGAGGATGAACTGGAGAAGAATGACGACCTGAGATGTCATGGTGGCCTCCTGCTCTGTAGTCCTGAAGTGGAAGAACATGGATGAGACCGGGAGCTACATCAAACCTCATCCTTTGATCCATGGGAGAATGACGACCTCGGGACTGAGAATGATACGAGTGTAGAGCAGTTGAGTTCTTGATCAGACAATGTTTCGGATGACAATCCTGTGAGTGAAAATCTGTCGTCAGTCAGTTATTACTTGCCCGATGACATTCGTCCTGTTTTTGGTCAAAAGGGGTGTCGCTAATAGAATGCTGGAGAGGTGTATCTGTATCCCTAAATTGCAGCAGGGACGATGATGACCCTAATCACAAGCTGGTAGGGGGCAGAGGCAACCGTCTGCTGATGGCTGCAGACGTCAGAACAGTCCGGTGGTCAGTTGAAAGCGAGACGACTGTAGGAGACAGTGAGCTGTCACGTGCATAACATAGCATATTTTCGTGGTAAAGGTAAACCAAAAAGTATTCTCTGTTCAGGTATATGTCTAGAAGTAGTAGAACACCAGGCGATTGAATTGAGATTGAGGGTGCTAGATATGCTAGGTGATCATATCGCAGGGGATGTGTCACACGGAATTGCAGTGCTGTGTGACCCATGATCACAGTTGTGACTTGGTGATGTATGGGATGTGTTGTGTCCTCAGCAGGGGTCCGGAAATTTTAAAATCCCAATCGGACATTTGCATTTAGGCCACGCCCCCTTCAAATAGCGTATTTTAGTACGACTTTTCACACACATTACAAGTTTACGTATTCATATTATGATGAATTATGAATTGTTTCAATATAAATTGTTTAATTCACAGGACAATTAATAACAAATAATATCATTTTAGATTTACATGGAAAACATACGTTTGTTTCTGTTATAATAAGGATCTGTTAACGTAGTGAACGGTCTAATTAATATTCATGAGTTATATTCATGAGTCTGCTCAAGTGTACGCGTTGTAACATTTGGATCGAGACTATTATCCCATATTTGGTTATCACGTGACCTCACGGGAAAAGTTTTTTTTAAACTAAAGATTTTTTTAAAAACAAGACAGATAATTTAATCACAAATACTAAAATATCGTTGATAGCAATAGTTATTTGAATACTTTTTTCATCTGTACTTAATTATTGACCATAAAAAAATTGGATATCGATCGTCCGAGAAAGCAAAATGGCGGTCAATCAAGATTCAATATACGACTAGCTACTGAAAACAATAAAATCTGCAAATCCTCATTGTATGTCAACCAAGTGAAAGTCGTTAGCCATGACTTACAAAATGATCGTCCAGACTTTGAGGGTTTGGCAGATCCGCTCGACTGATCTGCATCGGTCGACTGGCTGTCGTCACGCTTTCGCTTCTTTTCTGAGGTTACTTATCGTAGCATTGTGAGGATAATGAGGTACATCGATGATGCAAGGTATTAATGTACAGTTGTAAACACCTTTCACTCAAATTAACAAGATGTTCTCAGTAATTAATCCTCGATTAATCAGTGTCAACTCAGTTTATTGCCTATTACAGTGATTGACCGATTGGACTATCGTGTAGGTACGATGTATTTACAGCAATCAAAACAAACAAAGCTTGTCAGTGTAGTTAATCTTCATTGTGTTGCAACTGCAGACAGAAACTGCTCAGTCCTAACTGTTGATCATGTCCGGTCAAAATTTAAGAATGTCCGGACAATACTTTTTAAAATGTCCGGTAAGCAATATTTTAAAACGGACATTTGAGATTCCCAATCGGACATGTCCGGCGCATATGATGGTTTCCGGACCCCTGGTCCTCAGCTGTCGAATTGCAACATTATGATCAGTCCATTTTAATACATTTACAAAAATGTCACACAATACAGTGAAAACCTGAGTGTAAAACAATGTCACACATTACAGTGAAACCTGAGAGTGTATAACAATGTTGCACAATACAACGAAAACCTGAGTGTGTAAAACAATGTCACACAATACAGTGAAAACCTGAGAGTGTAAAACAATGTCACACAATACAGTGAAAACCTGAGAGTGTATAACAATGTCACTAAATACACTGTAAACAATGTGAGAAGTGTCCCAAACAACAGTGTATCCCAAACATATAAAACAATGTACCAAATTAACAATGAATTACACAAATCACTGACAAGATTAACTAACCAGATTTCCAAATTCCATGACATGGCTTGTGTTGGTTTCCCGTCTGACAATCTCAAACTGCTTAGTCAGTGTCTCAGTGCTAAGATTCTCCTGCAACAAAAAAACAACCGGTCAAACACTACCAAATCTCAGTCAGGGTCTCAGTGTTAAGATCTACGATCCACAATTCACATACAATCTTAGTAAGCATATCACTGCTAAGATCCTCCTGTAACAAACAGACAAACAATCCCACACTACCACCATCTTAATCAGCGTATCACTGCTAAGATCCTCCTGTAACAAACAGACAACCAATCACACACTACCATCATCTATGTGAGCTTATCACTGCTAAGATCCTCCTGTAACAAACAGACAACCAATCACACACAACCATCATCAATGTGAGCTTATCATTGCTAAGATCCTCCTGTAACAAACAGACACAACCAATCACACAACCATCATCTATGTAAGCTTATCATTGCTAAGATCCTCCTGTAACAAACAGACAACCAATCACACACAACCATCATCAATGTGAGCTTATCATTGCTAAGATCCTCCTGTAACAAACAGACAACCAATCACACACAACCATCATCTCTGTGAGCTTATCACTGCTAAGATCCTCCTGTAACAAACAGACAACCAATCACACACAACCATCATCAATGTGAGCTTATCATTGCTAAGATCCTCCTGTTACAAACAGACAACCAATCACACACAACCATCATCTCTGTGAGCTTATCATTGCTAAGATCTTCCTGTCACAAACAGACAACCAATCACACACAACCATCATCTATGTAAGCTTATCACTGCTAAGATCCTCCTGTAACAAACAGACAACCAATCACACACTACCATCATCTCTGTGAGCTTATCACTGCTAAGATCCTCCTGTAACAAACAGACAACCAATCACACACAACCATCATCTATGTGAGCTTATCATTGCTAAGATCCTCCTGTCACAAACAGACAACCAATCACACACAACCATCATCTATGTAAGCATATCACTGCTAAGATCCTTCTGTAACAAATAGACAACCAATCACACACTATCAACATTTACGTGAGCGTATCACCGCTAAGATCCTCCTGTAGGAAACAGACAACCAATCACACACAACACAATCTTAGTCAATGTATCACTGCTAAGATCCTCCTGTAACACTGGATCCTGTTTCACACTTTATGACATGGCTGATTGCGTGTCATCAGCCCCATGAAGATCTAGGTTAGAATTGGTCTTCATCATCCCATGCTTGTCATAAGAGGCGACTAACAGGATCGGCTGGTCAAGGCTCACTGACTTGGTTGATGCATGTCATCGTATCCAATTGTATTCATCGATGCTCATGATATCAATTACTCAAGTGTCTGGTCCAGACCCGATTATTTACAGACTGCCGTCATATTGCTGGAATATTGCTAAGAACAGTCTTAAGCAACAGACAAACATTGCTCATGTTTTGAGTCACAGGCTTATCCGATACAGACTTGATTATTTTCAGGCCACCATGTTACAGCTGGAACATTGTTGACTGCTCACTCACTCACTCACTCACTCACCCATTCCAACCCATTCAGGGATGGAGCATTGTAGCTAACCTTATCAGAGTCTTCCATCCACCTGACACTGTACACATCTCCCAGGAAGGTCTTTCGTTCCTTGTCCATGTAGCAGGCATAGGACGACTCATGGGCGTTGGCGGCAGTTGTGGCAAACACTGGAATAACAATGATGGAAATGTGGTCGAGCGGAGGAACTCAAGGCCACCCATTCCTACATTTATGAATCCACTGTATCAAAATTTTAAAATGGGGTGAAAAAAAACAAAAAAACTCAAAAACACAATTATTTTAAGTTCAGAGTTATCTATTTTCTTGTTTCACAGAATATTTAAAAGGCTCCATTGAAATATTCCTCAAAAACATGTTTCTATTTTTCGTTTTATTTCTTAACACTTTTATTTGAAGTGGGTTCTTTAAGTAACAATCTTCAAATAAACATTTTTTTCATTTTTTATTATTTTGTCCAATGCATCTCACAGAGAATCAGTAAAACAAGAAAATACACATAATTGCATAGTCCATTTTTATCAATAAAAACAGTTGTGACAATGAATGCAGCCTCTGACCATACACAGGACAAATACTCATGTCATTGAATTCTTGTTTGATCTTTGTTTAACACTATAGGTAGCAATATTTCAGCAGTCAGACAGCTTATGACCAGCCTAGGTTGCTGGGTATCAATTCTACCATGGAATGCCCACAGGGGTTGCTGCTTGTTAAGAAACAAAATATTAATTTGGCCAATGTCTGCCTAGACAGGAAACTTCGTCATTCACTTGAAATGACATATATATAATATATATATATATATATATATATATATATATATCATAAAATTATATAATCAAACCGTTGATGTCCTTGGGGAGCAGATTCTTGTCAAACATCGAGCCAGATTCGCAAGCCTCCACATAGATCACCATCTGATTTGTTCATGAAATACATATTTTTTAATAAACTCATAAGCATCCTAAACAATCATAAAGTAAATAAACAGATGATATCAGTTTAATTAAATTTCAAAAACTATCTCACACATACCCCACTTACTTTCAATCATAAACAAGTTCAGATATTTTCATTCCATGATATTCTGGGAATTAGATTTTCAAAAACATGCTTTCCTAACATTTTAACTCTCCTGGTGCCACTTTTCACAGAAAACATCCCTTTTCAACTGTGAATTAAGATTTCAAATAATGAGTGCACAAAATCAAAATTATAACCATCATCACCCTAACCATCTCAGCTTTAACATCGTGTAACTTATATTTTATACAGTGCTACGGATTGCGAAATAAGGTGATATTAGTAAAGTGGTTACCTCGCTTCGACCTTTTTCTGCCATGTTGAACTTCATGCAAATGATGGCAATTTTTTATTTTGTACCCTTCTCACATACACATAACTATTATAATATCAGACAGCCTATTTGATAAAGGAATTTATCAGATTGGTCAGAAAGATTTACTTTTCCCCACTGTACAGACTATTAATGCTTAGTCCGCAGTGAAAGTGTGTTTTTTCAAGAATTGCATATAGATTGTACTCTCGATTAATGTATGACAATCTACTGAAAGTCTTCAACTCTTATTCAATATGCCATCTGAAATGTCAGCAATGAGGAAATGCTTTAATTTTTCCGTTCAATGACGCTACCATCTGCAATTTTATTTGTGTAGGCTAATTGACGGTCAGTAATTTCCATCCGCTGTGAATTTGTCGTCTGGACAGGTGTGCATGATTTGACGAGGATGACGTCACGTCAAACAGCTGATTTAATGTTGTGGTAGTATAATGGATACATGTGTTTTCAGTTTCCAAATAATAATAATCTCTTTGACTGAACTAGAAAGCAGATCTAGAATGTGCTTTTCATATCTGTTTAAAGGTTTGATATTCCAAGAAAATAATGTGCATATACTTGAGTAAGGAAATGGAATGTTTTACTGTGAGAAAGCTGTCAAAATGGATCTGATATTAAACAACCTTTTTATATTTTAGCCTCATATATTAGAATCTTGCATGGTTCAATTTATAACATAAACAGTAAAAGTACTTAGATTTACACACAATATAGAGATAATTGGTTTCTGAATCACAAAATGTTTTCAGTGTAAATGTGATTTCGTTTTGATGTTTTAAATAGTTTTCATTATGTTTTTTTTCACTCTGCATTATCTAAATTATCACATACTTCGATCAGTGACATACGTATTTAGTAATAATTACTTTGTTTTATATCCTTAGTAGGAAATAGAATTTGTAAAGAAAGATCTTGTCTAAGAGCAAAATGAACGCATTCTTCTAAAGATTTTGCTAGTTATGTTTACTAAGTTCAATACCAAGAATATATTTTTCCTTTTGTGACAAATAATTCAATTGCTTGATTGACCTATGATCATGTCCTATTTAAAACTTTTCCTTTTGTAGAATGGGATGGTATGGGAAACTATACTGGTAATAAACTATCACGTTTGTCCTTGAATGTACACGTACACACCTAGGTGTAAATACACTTCTAAAGTGGTATTCATTAAACAATATGAAAGAAAAAGTTGTGCTTCATGGACTGGCCATACAAGTATATTTTTAGAAAAGGTCTAAGTAAGGCAGCCAAGTGCGAAATACTAGCTGAGATGAGGATGTATGTTTTCTAGTGGTCATAGTGAAACAAATGTGTTCAGAGTTTTGAGCACATGAACTGTACATACATTAAACACTACATTTATCGAAGTGATCCATATTTTCGTAACTTTCTCTTTCACTTAATCTAGATATAAGTTATAATTATACTGTAAAAACAATAATATTGCTTTCTTTTACCTGTGCAAGTTATCATTTCCTTGTATTAGATATAGCCCACTCTACACTTCTTGAGCTTTCAAATTCAAGTATTAAAATTGTCCAATTACATCTCGTTTCAAGCTTTTTATAAGTTAGATTTAAACGATTACACCAAAACACCTGAAGTACACATGTATAAATAATTACACCAAAACACCTGAAGTACACATGTATAAATAATTACACCAAAACACCTGAAGTACACATGTATAAATAATTACACCAAAACACCTGAAGTACACATGTATAAATAAGCAGTCTGTGTGATTGCACAACAAAGCCATGCTTGTCTGACATATGGTGCCCGAGTTACGATGATGGAAAATAGGTTTGTTGAATAGATTTGCTGTTCGTGAAATATGCCTCAACGATTTTGATTGAATCTACGTGTACTTACTCTTTTGTGGTATTACATTAGTATAATCTTGTTAATTATTAAGAAATAATAATGATGTCCGATATTGAGCGATGTCAATTTGAGATGTTAGGATTGTTCAGTGATCTTTCACATTGTCAATTACCCCGAAGTTGTTTTTATCACCAATGAAAGAGCACGCACACTGAAACCTACATGGATGTAATCAGGATTTCTTCAAGATATACAACTGTCATTCATTTTGTAACATAATCTTTGAAACAGTCTGCATATGAACCAATCATGACCACTTCTGTCAATTTTGTTTAGACGTCAAAAACACTGACAATTTCATCTAGATTTTTTTTTAGTAAATATAAATCATGGAAGATTCTCAATGAATGTGTAATTCGACACAAATATCATATGTCTATCACCGTTAGGATATGTACTTTCCAATGATATGGATTATTGGACATTTAATTTCGAACAAGGGCACTTACTTGACTTTACTTTTCGACACAAATATCATATGTCTATCACCGTTAGGATATGTACTTTCCAATGATATGGATCATTGGACATTTAATTTCGAACAAGGGCACTTACTTGACTTTACTTGCCACATGTGGGTGCTTCCATATTACGATTAATGTAGAATAGTAGGAAACTTACAATACCAGCCCTTTGATCGATGGCTAGGCAGTGCAAAGATCTTTTCTGATTTGTTGTACATTCCAGGCACCATGAGGGTTAAGCAGATAAAAACAATCAGATTTTCATGGATGTTAATACCAAGTACCAGACAGGGTAACAACAAGTACAATGGCGTAGCCAGGGTTGCAGGCCCTCCAGTTTAAACATTTATATAAGCGAGTTTGGTTTAACTATGCTGTGAACAGTATTCCAGTTGTACCACAGCGTGTCAGCTTAACGCGGGAGGAAAGCCCACGGCGATACAGGTCTCTGACGTTTACCACTGTGGTGCTGACAAACAGAGAAACATAAGGATTTGAGCCGGGATTTGAACCCACATTCATAAGTTTCTAATGTGCCCAAGGGGCACAACTCTGTGCAGTGAATTGCAGCGCCTTAGACGACAGGGCCACCCATGCCCCCGCAGCAACTTGAGCCCCTGGGCCAGTACATAGACACACACAGTGACTGTACCTGGCCGTATCTCTGTTCCTTGTTCATCGTGAGGATGGTGTGGTGGAGATCCGAGGCATGGAGCTGAAAATAGATACAGCATTTGATCTAATGTCGTCACCACAGAGTAGCCAATCACAGACCTGATTAAGATACAGCATGTCACTAATACCATTTGACCTTGTTCTAGCTTAACATTTTACTCAGACAGAAAATTACAATATCAGTACATGCATTCACATAGCGCAACAATTCCCAAAATAAATATGCTCTGCACGCTCTAGCAACTGTAAGACTGCTGAAACAAATGTTGTAAGATGAGATTTGAAACAGGAAATAGTGGGAGCAGTGTATTATGAGAATGTTCTTTTGCTTGAAATAAGACAAAATCGATGCTTCTAATTTTGAAACTTTATCACTTGAACAGTGAATCCAATTGTTGATTAATACAGCCAATGCTTGACCTTACAAACACAGTTTTATTTCATGATTAGAATGTACTGTTAAGCAAGAATTGAAACCATATGTTTCAAATCAATATAGTTCTCTCTGTCAGCTCTGGTTAGCTAAGGCTGTTAAGGCATGCATCCCTGTTTATAAATTATTCCCAAAAAATTCATTGTTATCATTCTCCACAGCTTGTAAAATATTTGATTGTAATATAAGTCCTATACTTTTATATGGTGCAGAAATTTGGGGGCTAAGGTATTTTGCATGTATAGAGAAAGTTCAAACATCATATTTTAAATATTTTCTTGGTGTAGGTAAATATGCCCCAAACACAGCTATCTTAGGGGAAACTGGCCGCCACTATATGTTTGTCCAGAGTCAGATCAGAGCTATAAAATATTGGCTAAAATTATTGCACATGGGATCAAATAGATATCCTGTACAATGTTATTACTTCCTTAAAAAGCTAGATGAGAAAGGTAAGCACAGTTGGGTGACAGATCTAAAACATTGTCTATATGTTAATGGTTTTTCATATGTCTGGGACTACCAAAATGTTGGTGATGTTAATATTTTTTGGTATCAATTTCAGGAAAGACTAAAAGATGTTGCCTCTCAAAATTGGTTTGCAAAATTGTCTGCTTCCAAATATTTAACTCATTATTCAAATGTTAAATCTTTGCTGAATGTAGAAAAATATATTGATTCTTTGCAGGATAAATCTCTCAGAAGAACCTTTTGTAAATTTAGGATTAGCTTACATAATTTTAATGTTCAGTTTCTACGTAAAAAACCCTCAGATAATGAAAATAGTGTATGTAGATATTGTAACAAGGGTTGTATTGAAAATGAAGATCATGTCTTTTTCACTTGTGATTATTACCAGACTTTACGGAAACATTATATTACTCAACTACAGGATATGTATGACAGTTACCTGTCACTTCCAAATATTCTTAACTGCAAAAATGTCAGTGTAATAAAACTGACTTCTGTATACCTGTATAAGATATTTAAATTTAGAAAAACATGACTAAATTTATATTGTACTGATATATTATATAGGCCATATGGCCCACATTACCGATTACATCTGTCTGTCTGTGGTTAGCTGAGAGTTTCCCTATAGCTCTATCCTAATTCACAATAAAGCCACAGTGATAGTTCTTCAACAACTGTCATCTATTGATGTAGTAAGTGCTTAACACATTCCATGATTAGAAACATTTCATTGAACTTACAAACTTGCTCCCAAATGCAATAATTCCTGGAGCTCCATGGTCAACAAAGTTCACAAAAACATGATCATTTGGTCCGCTGGAAAAAGCACAAATGAGACATTAAAAACAACATCAGACAGTATTTTGACAAAAACTGAACTTAATTTTGAAAAATATTTTTTAAGCAATGGGAAGACTTAAAATTATTATAATTGTGCAAAATTGAATAATAGTTATCATTGAATACTACTTCTATTACATCATTGCCACAAAACCTGTATTTTGGCTGCTGTCACACCATACTAAAACTTTCAGATTGTCAACTGGGGTCTACTATTAAATAAACTATACAATAATAGTTATCCCAAAAATAGCACTAGCAGCTCACAGCTCCTACGTGCGCAAGGCAGGAAAACATTCAGTTCTTTCCCAATAAACATCAGCCTACTAGAGGCAGATGCTTGGGGGGGTGGGAGGGAGTACTTCTGATGTAACAGAGGTAGTATTTTTAGAATAATAAACAATGATAGCTATTGTTTAATAATTTGCACGAATCATGGGGGATGGTGATGGTCATGGTGACGGTGACATTTTCTTATCCCAATCATCGTCACCACTGGATGAACTTAGTCCATCTGTTGTCATAAGAGTAGGGAAAGACGATCTCCATGACCTAACAACTGCTGCAAAGGTAGATTGAGAGAACCAGAGGCCTGCATTCTTTGTGTGGTAGCTTCCAGTCAATGAGATGAAGGCTGGGAATGTTCTCGATCTGGATTGATGCTGAAGATCCTTGCGTTAAGATAGTGGATCTATCATAAGTAGAGCTAGCAGTCTGGGGAACAAGGTTCTACTGGGCCAGAGTAGGGCAATCAGGATGATGGTACAGTCTGTTGATTCTATCCTCTGTATCACCCCATTGAGAAGCGACCATGAAGGGAAGGCTTACGGAAAGAGATTGGTCCAATCCATGGACAGAATGTCGGTCTGTAAGGCCCTTGGATCCATAACCGGACCGACGTAGAATAGGAGTCGGTGGTTCATACAAGTCACAAAAAGATCTACATACGGGGTGTCTCATGTTGACGTGATGTTCAATTTCCATGGAAAATGTCTCACTGCCATCCAGCAAGGTAGTGAGTCGGCTTAGATGAATAAACGTGAGGTCTCCATCATCAGAGAGGTGGACTTGGTCCCACCCTGCTTCTGTATGTAGGCCACGACTGTGCTGTTGTCCGTTGTTCTGACTCCATCCAGGGGCTCTGTATCTGGAGGTCTGCTAGATGGGCTCGATCCCAAGCAAGAATCTGAGGTGTCCGTGAACAGGTGATATTCCGGCAGGCAAGGGGTGAGAGGAATGCCAGTCATAACATGACATAATCGTTCTTTAGTGTCCTGCTTGATTTCGTCAGTTATTTTACCAAGTTGATTGTTGAATACAGTGGGAGCTGAGATAGGTTGAGACTTCACCATTCTCTTGGCCTGTGAAGTGACAGCCTTAGATCGGATCTGAGATAGAAGGTGTTGATCTTGGAGCCAGGAATTGGGACGATGACCAGACCTGCATACTCAGTACTTCTTGCTGCATCTTGACGATCAAGTCCAAGAGGCTATGGGTGAGTCCCACTTGATTGATGCAAATCAGAATGGTGGTGTCAGCCGGAGTCTCGTCGTACTCTGGGAGCAAAGGAGGAACAGAGTGGCATACACCGGCTATGTACCAGTTAATATAAGAGCCAATGTCAATGTAGTACCAATTGGCTGTGAAGACATCATTAACACGGCTAGCAGGAAGAGAAAGGTTCGTACTAGGATTCTTGACAAGCTTTAGGAAATCCTCATCCAGTACCCATGGCTCAGGTATGGTTTGTGGGTTTGATATAATTTCCTCTTCAGGTTGGGGAGAGGAAGCCTGTCATCATGCCTGAGTGTGTGGAGGTAACTGTATATCTTGAACTTCAAGATTTACAGTATCAAGCAGTTGACAATTCCTTGTGCGTAACTCAGCCATGGGAGAGTCTGATGAACGTGCGATGACACAGGGGATTGGCAGCCGGCATACTCAGGCATCATTGATGGGCTGGACAGGTTCATGCGGGCAGTCTGATTAGGCATAAACTGATACAAGGCATCCAATAAATCTACAAAAGGTTAGGGAGTGCCAAACTCCCGTGGTGGTTGAGTCTCTTCCTTCTGGTGATCATCTTTGGATTCAGTGTCTGAATGAGTGTGGGAGGCCGTTGGGGGAATCTCATCAAAGTACTTTGGCTTGTCAGCTTGTCTGACTGGACATGATATCGTCCACCTTCTTGGCGGCATCTTTTCTCTTGGCTTTGGTGAGAGCATCGCTGAGCTGAGAATGCCTTCTTGGAGAGTGGGAGACAAAGAGTGCAATGATTGTCTTCAGTACAAGGCTCTCTGCATTTCAAACACTCGCTATGAAGGTCGCCAGAAATCATGAACCTGTCACACTTGTGACAGGCTGAGGGGGAGAGGACACACAGGAACAAATTGAAGGTTTTCCTGCCTTGCGCATGTAAGAGCTGTGAGCTGGAAGCGCTATTTTCGGGACAACTATTATCGTATAGTTGACAGTGAAGGGGACCTTAGTTGAAAATCTGAAAGTTTTAGTATGGTGTGACTGCAGCCAATATACAGGATTTATGGCAATGATGCTATAGAGGTAGAGGATTCGTAAGAATTATATATAATATTTTGGGTGGAAATTGTTGTTTTCAAAAGGGGTTGCAGGAGTGTTATTGTGAGACGTTCCTCTGGATCTCCTTCAAAAGACCAGAAATGTCTTCTAAAGAATATGATTCAAGACAAAGCACAGTACCCTTGGATAGATATGTTGAAAGTTGACAATCCTGAGAAAGGGAGGTAACTCGTTTGCCAAAAATAGAACTTCCTATGGCCCACTTTCCTCAAAAGTGGATATTTTGCAAGATAAGTGCTTATTATTTGTTTTTTTTAGGGTGTATGATAAATTCAAGAGCTTCCAAACCATTTAGTCATAATTCAAGTGATTTTCAGATATTTTCAAAACAAAAGACAAAAATATAATTTAAACTTGATCATTTACTCCAACTAACAAACTGGCACAATTAAATGAGTCTAGTTTGAAGGTATACAATTTGACCCTAAGAAAGGTAAGTGTGTTTACGGTAACCATGGTAATATGCTTTCAGCAGACATGCGTCCCTTTTAGGTGGGGCTGGAGGGGTGTGAAAAAAAGTGGTGGGTCTGTTGCTGCTACCCACCTCTCGAGCACCCGCCCATTTCCGATGCCGACCATTCCTTCCTTGTCCCCTTTCAGAACCTTCAGGAAGTTCTCAGGGTTCACTTCCTGGACAAAATAGAGGCCGAGATATTAACTATTATTATGAATACATCATTATACTATTACCATATATAGCTGTTCAATAAAGAACACCCGCTTTATCATATGACTAGTTATTCTGTCATGCAATGTCAGATTAACTATAGTCAAGTGAACAAATCAGATGTTCTGTAACTTCTTTTGAGTAGTATATATAAACACTGAATACCAAAAGTTTGTTATCTTTCATATAATCAGTAGGATATTCAAACTCATATAATAATTTCCTTATCATGGCAGACCAATTAATATTTTGGTTTTTCATTTGTACCTAACTAAGGAAAGAATGTAAGTGTGTTTGACTAGAAATTGTATTCATGTAACATAGTTTTCATACTGGCATAGCGACGTTTCCGTATAGATCCTTATTAAGGGTGAAAGAATACACCGATATTCTGATGCATCGGGATATTTGACCCACGATACGATACATGTGGGCCTTTATATCAGTACGCCACAATACGGAACACAAATCTTATGTACAGTGTTCCTTCGATATTGCCCCCTTCAGTATAGCACCAGCTTGGTTATAGGGATACCATTCCAACCATTGCATCAAAATTCTTTGAATTGGGTACTGTTAAACTGAATCACCGGTAGATTGGGTGAAAATGTGTGTACAGCTGATTGCTATTTCAGGCTTAGATTACAAGAAAATACATGGTAATCTTAATCTTTGCATATAAAACAATGCCTTGGAGAGCAGGAAACATTCTGCGTCCCATGGAACACACAATTATATACATTGTACCTCCAGCGCATCAAGAGCAGTTATGGGGGTCTGTTATTTCGTCCATCAATCATGACCACTGTCCACATGATCATTTATTGATATAGGCTAATTATCTAAACATACATTACACTATACCTTTTCATGAGGTACTACTATTCTAATCTTTTTTCAAACTTTGAAATGTACATCGTAGATCATGTTATTTGGTAGGCAGAGGATGTACTGTTGGTCATCCACCCTCTATGACTCCATCAAGGTTTAGACTTTACAGCAGGAGACATTGTCAGTACCCAGAGGGCATCACTGTCCCTTTTTAATGTTAACATTTTAATTTTGGTGAAAAAGAATCGGAAGTTGAACTATTCAGATGTTAAGTACATTGATTCTTTTCTTCTGTTTGAACTTTGAAGTTTTCTGCTGTTTTGAAATTTGAAATGTTTTGAAGGAACATTTATAATAGAGAAAGCTCCACTTTGAAGCTAAACAAGTTCAGTAGTCTTGTTATTATAAAAGAAATTTGACTGTTCCAAAATCATGATAGTCCAATCTTGACTTGAAGTCTTGGAACTTTTTAAAACTGGACTACTGTTATCTGTTTCTGTTGTATGCTTGCGTATCGTATCGTATACATACGGTTACGTATTGCATTAAAATTGTGGCCTTCGTGTGTAGCTGCTAGTTATAACATGAGGCAGTTCTTGGGTGATATGATAAAGTTTATTCTGTTTTGTCCGATGATGGGAGGGAAGCTGGCAATAAGTGACCTCCCTCTGTAAAGAGTTCATGCAGAATAACTTAATCTAGTTTAAGCCAAAAGTCCAGCTGAAGCTGGAGAAATCACAGAGGCTGCAAAAGGGTATCAAGGTTGATGTTAGTTGGCTGACATTCAACTGCAGACAAGCACAACATAAAAGATATCCTGGAAGATAAAACTATCTCTTCCTACCTCCTCCCTGTAGTCGATCTTGACGCCATGGTAAACATCAGGGCCATCGGGACGGTTGATGATCTTTCCTGGCGTGGGATTCCTACAACAGTGTGAGTTATGGAGTGAAAACTGCACCAGATATTCATCCAGTCGAGTGGAGGGCAGGTGAAATGAGGTTTAAATGTCATTGCACTTATATAGTAACATGTGTATGTGTGCTTATACAAGTTGAGACTAATGCCAGTTTCATAGTGCTAGCATTCTGAGATAACATGCCACAGTTGATATGGATAATCCACTTGGGCACATTATATATGACTCTGTGCCGACCAGTCAGTGTTCGAAATAAGCACCGGCCTGTAGGCCCATGGCAGGTAGATCTTGTGTTGGACCTGTGCTTTCAAATTTGAATGGGTCCTTATGGCTTGTAGTAAATATGTGTGTTGATTTATTTGATCACAATAAGCTCCGTTTTTTTAATGAGGGCCTGAAGAGTTTAGTCAGGGCCTGCAGCTTGTAAAGTTTGTGGGTCGCTATGGCATCCTGGCAATATTTTTTCTTTCAAACACTGAGACCAGTCCTTGTCTTATCCTACCTGGCAGCCTCTCATTTGGCACACTGACTGTGCTCGTGGACTTCAACCAAGTGGAGAACATCCACTTGTAACACGCGATCACATTAATATACAGGCCTACAGCTGAAATACTCTTCAAAAAGGTTAACGCCAAATCACCCACTCATCAAAACATTATATAGAGTGCTGGTGTGCAGTAAACAAACCTATCACAACTCCAGCCCTAGGTGTATGTACAGTGCAAGTATATATGACCTGTCTCCCTCAAAGGCCACACTTATTAACTCGGTGGATTACAGAAATTTTGTTGTTTACCCACATGCATACAGTGACCTTAGCACTTTGATTAACATAAGTCAACGTTAAATCATGGGGCGCTATGACTCAACAATATTCCAGCTATATGACGGCAGTCTGTAAAACAATCAAGTCTGGACCAGACAATCCAGTGATTGACATCATGAGCATCGACCCATGCAATTTGGAACGATGACATGTATCAACCAAGTCAGCGAGTCTGACCACCCGATCCCGTTAGTTGCCTTTTACGACAAGCATAGTCGCCTTCTACGGCAAGTATGGGTTGCTGAAGGCCTATTCTACCCTGGAATCTTTAAGGAAGCTACCACTATCGTAAGTCAATGTTAATGTATGGGGCACTACAACTATCATAAGTCAATGTTAAAGTATGAGGCGCTATGACTATTGTAAGTCAATGTTAAAGTATGAGGCGCTATGACTATCATAAGTCAATGTTAAAGTATGAGGCGCTATGACTATTGTAAGTCAATGTTAAAGTATGAGGCGCTATGACTATTGTAAGTCAATGTTAAAGTATGAGGCGCTATGACTATCATAAGTCAATGTTAAAGTATGAGGCACTATGACTATTGTAAGTCAATGTTAAAGTATGAGGCGCTATGACTATTGTAAGTCAATGTTAAAGTATGAGGCGCTATGACTATCATAAGTCAATGTTAAAGTATGAGGCGCTATGACTATTGTAAGTCAATGTTAAAGTATGAGGCGCTATGACTATCATAAGTCAATGTTAAAGTATGAGGCGATATGACTATTGTAAGTCAATGTTAAAGTATGAGGCACTATGACTATTGTAAGTCAATGTTAAAGTATGAGGCGCTATGACTATCATAAGTCAATGTTAAAGTATGAGGCACTATGACTATTGTAAGTCAATGTTAAAGTATGAGGCACTATGACTATTGTAAGTCAATGTTAAAGTATGAGGCGATATGACTATTGTAAGTCAATGTTAAAGTATGAGGCACTATGACTATTGTAAGTCAATGTTAAAGTATGAGGCGCTATGACTATCATAAGTCAATGTTAAAGTATGAGGCACTATGACTATTGTAAGTCAATGTTAAAGTATGAGGCGCTATGACTATCATAAGTCAATGTTTAAGTATGAGGCGCTATGACTATTGTAAGTCAATGTTAAAGTATGAGGCGCTATGACTATCATAAGTCAATGTTAAAGTATGAGGCGCTATGACTATTGTAAGTCAATGTTAAAGTATGAGGCGCTATGACTATTGTAAGTCAATGTTAAAGTATGAGGCACTATGACTATCATAAGTCAATGTTAAAGTATGAGGCGCTATGACTATCATAAGTCAATGTTAAAGTATGAGGCGCTATGACTATCATCAGTCAATGTTAAAGTATGAGGCACTATGACTATTGTAAGTCAATGTTAAAGTATGAGGCGCTATGACTATCATAAGTCAATGTTAAAGTATGAGGCGCTATGACTATCATAAGTCAATGTTAAAGTATGAGGCACTATGACTATCATAAGTCAATGTTAAAGTATGAGGCACTATGACTATCATAAGTCAATGTTAAAGTATGAGGCGCTATGACTATCATAAGTCAATGTTAAAGTATGAGGCGATATGACTATCATAAGTCAATGTTAAAGTATGAGGCGCTATGACTATCATAAGTCAATGTTAAAGTATGAGGCGCTATGACTATCATAAGTCAATGTTAAAGTATGAGGCACTATGACTATTGTAAGTCAATGTTAAAGTATGAGGCGCTATGACTATTGTAAGTCAATGTTAAAGTATGAGGCGCTATGACTATCATAAGTCAATGTTAAAGTATGAGGCGCTATGACTATTGTAAGTCAATGTTGAAGTATGAGGCGCTATGACTATCATAAGTCAATGTTAAAGTATGAGGCGATATGACTATTGTAAGTCAATGTTAAAGTATGAGGCGCTATGACTATCATAAGTCAATGTTAAAGTATGAGGCACTATGACTATTGTAAGTCAATGTTAAAGTATGAGGCACTATGACTATTGTAAGTCAATGTTAAAGTATGAGGCACTATGACTATTGTAAGTCAATGTTAAAGTATGAGGCGCTATGACTATCATAAGTCAATGTTAAAGTATGAGGCGCTATGACTATTGTAAGTCAATGTTAAAGTATGAGGCGATATGACTATTGTAAGTCAATGTTAAAGTATGAGGCGCTATGACTATTGTAAGTCAATGTTAAAGTATGAGGCACTATGACTATCATAAGTCAATGTTAAAGTATGAGGCGATATGACTATTGTAAGTCAATGTTAAAGTATGAGGCGCTATGACTATCATAAGTCAATGTTAAAGTATGAGGCACTATGACTATTGTAAGTCAATGTTAAAGTATGAGGCACTATGACTATTGTAAGTCAATGTTAAAGTATGAGGCACTATGACTATTGTAAGTCAATGTTAAAGTATGAGGCGCTATGACTATCATAAGTCAATGTTAAAGTATGAGGCACTATGACTATTGTAAGTCAATGTTAAAGTATGAGGCACTATGACTATTGTAAGTCAATGTTAAAGTATGAGGCGATATGACTATTGTAAGTCAATGTTAAAGTATGAGGCACTATGACTATTGTAAGTCAATGTTAAAGTATGAGGCGCTATGACTATCATAAGTCAATGTTAAAGTATGAGGCACTATGACTATTGTAAGTCAATGTTAAAGTATGAGGCGCTATGACTATCATAAGTCAATGTTTAAGTATGAGGCGCTATGACTATTGTAAGTCAATGTTAAAGTATGAGGCGCTATGACTATCATAAGTCAATGTTAAAGTATGAGGCGCTATGACTATTGTAAGTCAATGTTAAAGTATGAGGCGCTATGACTATTGTAAGTCAATGTTAAAGTATGAGGCACTATGACTATCATAAGTCAATGTTAAAGTATGAGGCGCTATGACTATCATAAGTCAATGTTAAAGTATGAGGCGCTATGACTATCATCAGTCAATGTTAAAGTATGAGGCACTATGACTATTGTAAGTCAATGTTAAAGTATGAGGCGCTATGACTATCATAAGTCAATGTTAAAGTATGAGGCGCTATGACTATCATAAGTCAATGTTAAAGTATGAGGCAATATGACTATCATAAGTCAATGTTAAAGTATGAGGCACTATGACTATCATAAGTCAATGTTAAAGTATGAGGCGCTATGACTATCATAAGTCAATGTTAAAGTATGAGGCGATATGACTATCATAAGTCAATGTTAAAGTATGAGGCGCTATGACTATCATAAGTCAATGTTAAAGTATGAGGCGCTATGACTATCATAAGTCAATGTTAAAGTATGAGGCACTATGACTATTGTAAGTCAATGTTAAAGTATGAGGCGCTATGACTATTGTAAGTCAATGTTAAAGTATGAGGCGCTATGACTATCATAAGTCAATGTTAAAGTATGAGGCGCTATGACTATTGTAAGTCAATGTTGAAGTATGAGGCGCTAAGACTATCATAAGTCAATGTTAAAGTATGAGGCGCTATGACTATTGTAAGTCAATGTTAAAGTATGAGGCGCTATGACTATCATAAGTCAATGTTAAAGTATGAGGCACTATGACTATTGTAAGTCAATGTTAAAGTATGGTGGTTGCGATAATCACAGCGATAATACGATCGCTTTGTGCAAGTGGGTGCAAGGCTTCATAGCAGTACTTGTGAGCAGGGACCACTTGCACAAAGCGATCTTAGCGCTAAGATGATCGTAACTCCCATACTTTAACATTGGCTTACAATCTTGATGAGAAAAAAGGACTTTGAGGCTTTTTTCGACACAATACAAAATGACTATTTTTACCATGTAAATAATGTCTTGAATAGATAAACAATTAGACACTTTACCATGTATCTCTATAACTGGACAACTTAACTGTTTGGCATCAATTTTACATTATCAAATACCCAAAAGAATATTTAAGACAAACAAAATTATATTCAGTATTGGAGATGTATTTGTTCATTATTATGTAATTATTTCTCTTCATCTCATCTCAGAAATATACAATAAAAGATACTAAGAAAGCTCTATTGGTAGAGAATTTTCAAGATAATCATATAAGGTTCAACCAACGGCCACCTGGGACGGTATATATTTATATACTTTTTACCAAAGAGAAATAAATTAAACAGTTTAATACTGTAAATCGTGAAATTAATGAGTCTCCA